GTGATCTCATGCTGTAAGAGCTTCATGGCCACAACCTTACCATTTCCCGTCACAGCCCTTGAGTCAACCCTCCAGCCCACAGTAGGCATGAAAAGTAAAGCCAGTTTCCGTTTCATTGTTGAATTCACACAGGTAAGTGGGAGGGTTATGTGCTCAAACTCAAAGATGCATTATCACATTAACCCACATATTTTAATCTCATTGCCCTGGGTTTTGCTTTTTGTTTTTCGTATTTGTTTTTAAATTAAATAATTCTTTACCTAGTGCCCTCCATTGCTTGGTAATAACTCAAAAAAAAAAAAAAAAAGTACTGAAAAGAGTCAAGAGCCAGGCTCCTATTTGGCCAATGACCATCCAAGACCTTCTATTTCATGCTCTCTCTTTGTAAAGTAAGAATCATAGCCGAAACCGGTTTGGCTCAGTAGTAGAGTGTCGGTCTGCGGACTGAAGGGTCCCAGGTTCGATTCCGGTCGGGGGCATGTACCTGGGTTGCGGGCACGTCCCCAGTGGGGGGTGTGCAGGAGGCAGCTGATCGATGTTTCTCTCTCATCAACATTTCTAGCTCTCTATCTCTCTCCCTTCCTCTCTGTAAAATATCAATAAAATATATTAAAAAAAAAAAAAAAGAATCATAATATCTGGCCCAACTCCACAGATGGCCAGAATTTGAGTACTTAAAATGCTTTGGAAGAAAGGCATAAGAATATTGTGACTTTAACAAGAAAATGGTACAAAATAAGAAAATAAATACTGCAAGTAAATAGAAGAAATCAACCATCTTCAACAATGTTGCTTCTGACTACGCTCTTCTCTTTGCTATCTACTCTCAATGATATCACGTGCAGTTCCGTAGTGGCTGAAGTTTATGTGCATATTGCCAAATGCCATAATATTCTGTGGGATCCAATATTACAGGGAAACATTCAGGGATGTACTTCACTACTGAGAAACAGACTCATTTCTATATCTGCTTCCCATCTCAGACTACAAACTGATATTTCACGTGAACACAAAGCCTCATTTATTTTGGTGCAAATATCCAGATAGGTGGGTGGATGCCTTTTACCGAGGAATGTCATGAAAGTTCCTATCTGCTGATTCCCCAGCCTGAGGCATCTGACCATTTGTCACTCCTAAAATAGTGTGAAGTACTTTTCTCACCTGAAAATAAACGGTTTCCACCAAAAAAATATATTGAGCACAAACAACATAAAAAGCACTCTGCTGAGTACTGTGTAGAATATAAAGCTGAATAAGTCAGTTCTTGCTCTTGATAAGAACTTTATAGGCCCACATTCTTACAGATATTAGATTACATTCTTCTAAAAAATAAGGACAGTGATTATCTCTCCATTCTTTGGTGTTAGTGTTTTGGTTTGGCAAAACGAGTGAATTAATAGAAGAATGGGAAAAGTAAATATGAACTCTAGTCAAAAATTCCTAATGAAGACCTTTTTTGTTATAGGATGTCAACCAACAAGAAATCATTTCTAGCCTCTTTAGTCTGATCCCATTTGCTTAAGAATTGAAGAGTGAAAGAAGAAGGATCTATGATAGGACTAGGTTACAGAACAAGGCGAACAGGAGTTGGAACTTGTAATGCAGGGATGGGGAACATTTTTTCTGCCAAGGGCCATTTGGATATTTTTATCATTCATGGGCCATATAAAATTATCAATTTAAAAATGAGCCTGCTATATTTGGTCAAATATTTAATTAAACTCACCCCTAATGCCTTGGCAGAGCCAGACCAAATGATTTTGAAGGCCTTATACACTCCGCAAGCCGGATGTTCCCCATACCTGGTCTAAAGGAATCAGTGAAAACAAATTTTCTGGAGAAGATTAAAGAAGAATACAGTTGATTAGAAAAAAAAATAAGGTAAAATAGACAATAGTAGCCTTTGTGGGGAGAAAAAAAAAAGAAAATTTAGTGGAAATTGACTTAACCAAAGAACAGAAGGGAGCGATCCGAGTTCAGTACCATCTTACTAACCATCTTTGTTATGATGGTCTATATTGCCTGTTTTTATCTCAGTCCACATCTGACTGGCTTGAAAATCTTTCTTTAAAATGTGCAGCTATCACAATACACTTCTTAATTGGCTTTGTTTACAATCTATGAATTGGCATTGTATACGTATTTGTTGCTTACAATTTATTGTTTGAGGTAAATACTGTGTCTTTTTTCACTATCTGATCTAAAAAGCTCTCACATCTCTATGCACTCTTATATCCTGGCTGAAATTTGAGATAGATGTCTGTTTAGATTCTTTTATACATCTTACATTGTGCATCAGCTCATAGATAATACAATGACCTTAACCTCACATGCCATATTTTCTTAACTTAAATCTATGACTTTAGATTTTTTTTTAAAATTGCATATAAACTTTTTCTGGAAAGTAGGCTCATAAGAGACTTACCAAACCCATGTTTAAAATGCTCCGTGCAGAAACCGGTTTGGCTCAGTGGATAGAGCGTCAGCCTGTGGACTAAAGGGTCCCAGATTCCATTCTGGTCAAGGGCATATACCTTGTTTGTGGGCACAACCCCAGTGGGGCTGTGCAGGAGGCAGCTGATCGATGTTTCTAACTCTCTATCTCTCTCCCTTCCTCTATGTAAAAAAAAAAACAATAAAAAATATATTTAAAAATAATAATAAAATAAAATGCTCCCTTGTTTTGACCAGTGTTGCTCAATTGGTCGAGCATCATTCCATGCACAAAGTTTGCTGGTTCAATTCCAGGTCAGGACAGATGCCCAGGTTGCAGGCTTGATCCCCAGTAGGGATTGTGCAGGAGGCAGCCTGTGGATGTTTCTCTCTCACATTAATGGTTCTCTCTCTCTCCCTTTCCTTTCCTCTCTTACTAAAATCAATAAAAAATATTTAAAAATGAAATAAAATAAAATGCTCCCTTGATCCCTATTCTATACTAAAGAATATATTAAAAAAATTTTTTTGTAGGCTGTCAAAAGTATCATATCTTTGTTAATAATGTAAATATGTGAATAAAAAATATGGGCCTCCTAAAGTTTTGTTTCTTATTCAACTACTGACATCTAAAATTCTTTTACTTTGAGGCAATTATCTCCTTTCAGACATGGTTCCTGAATTGTTTCAAATGCCTCTAAAACTCTGGTTTTATAACAATTTAATACCATCAATGTTGGTTTTAGATAACTCAGTATTATAATACAAAATAATCCTATATAATAAATAGGTAATATGCAAGTTGACCATCACTCCAACACAAGATGGCTGCCCAGATGTGGTCAAAGATGGCTACCCCATGTGGCCACAAGATGGCCGTCACAGATGGCCAGCAGGGGAAGGCAATTAGGGGCGACCAGGCTGGCAAGGGAGGGCAGTTAAGAGTGACCGGGTCAGCAGGGGAGGGCAGTTAGCAACAATCGGGCCAGCAAGGGAGCAATTAGGTGTCAATTAGGATGGCAGGCAGAAGCAGTTAGGGGCAATCAAGCAGGCAGGCAGATGAGCAATTGGGAGCCAGCAGTCCTGGATTGCAAGAGGGATGGGATCAGGCCTAAACAGGCAGTCAAACATCCCTCGAGGGGTTCCAGATTGGAGAGGATGCAGACTGGACTAAGGGATACACACATACCCCTGTGCACGAATTTCATGTACCGGGCCTCTAGTTTTAAGTATAAGTAAAATATAATCAAAGTAAACTTAGATGTTGTGACTTGTGATGTTGTCTTCCCTTGCATGATTTTAGGAGTGGGGAGGGAAGAAGAAATAAATTGCTTTTTTTTCCTGTACTTTCAGTGGAAGGAGGGGAGCATATATGGAACGACAGGAAGAAAAGCTAATAAATAGGTTGGAAGTAATATTCTACCAGCAGGAACTTGATAGATCCAGGTAAATGCTTTGGTATAGTGGCTCCTTTGAAGAGCAAAAACAAGATATATTAAATTTCCTACGAAGTGTTTATCTTAAAAACAATTATAAGTTATTAATTATACTGCTAATTACCAAAGATCAAGCAATGCAGTTTTTCTTTTCTCTCAATGAATACTAATGTTAGTAAAACTTGAAGTTTGGCATGACAAATAAATGGGCATGTCTATAAAAGCAAAAAAAATGAACACGTGGTTTGAAGATAAATCAGATCTGCATATGCATTTGTTGATTTTTTGCAAAATAAAATTAAGTTTAATTTTATAAATTAAGAAAATGAAAAAGGCCAATTGCCTTATTATCCTCATGGAAATAGTTTTGATCTCGGAGAGTCCTTAAAAAGATCTTGGAGATGTCCCAGATCTGGCGAGTTGGAGAACCAATGCCATCAAATAATTTCAATGTCACTTCCCATTTCATATTATTTTTAAAAATATATTTTATTGATTTTTTACAGAGAGGAAGGGAGAGGGATAGAGAGCTAGAAACATCGATGAGAGAGAAACATCCATCAGCTGCCTCCTGCACACCCACCACCTGGGACGTGCCTGCCACCAAGGCACATTTCCTTGACCTGAATTGAACCTGGGACACCTCAGTCCGCAGCCAGATGCCCTATCCACTGAGCCAAACCGGTTTTGGCCCATTTCATATTATTAATAAAGTGAATTTTCTCTGGTGAATATTTTTGTTCTCGTTCCCAGATCACCCTTTTAGGAATGTTGAGTCGAGGTAACCACAAGACCCCGCCCCAGCCTGGTGGAACCCAAACCCGAAAACCTCCGGACGCCCGGAGGACGCTCCGCTGACCACTGAGAACTGAAAATACACCCCCCATCCCCCTGACCCCGAAGTCGCAGGAAAAGCCGGGTCTGGAACCGAGATAAACCAGCCCCCCACAGGCTCAGGCGGGGCCCGAACCAGAGGCCGGAGGCCGGGCTCGCCGAGGGCTCAGGACAGCAGGTTCACGACTCAGAAAGCGCAGCGCCAGCTTGGGGAGACGCCCGCCAATGGGCCGGGCAGCGGGCAGGCCGGCCCCGGGGAGGAGCGGCCGCCAGGTGCTCCCGGGAGCCGCCGCCTCCTCCCGCAGACGGCGCCGCGCCTCCCGGGACCCAGCAGGAAGTTGTCGCGCTCGTCCCCCTGCCGATCTGGGCGCTTCTTCGCGGACCCCAGGCGCTTCCTCGGCCCCGGCGCTGGGGCCTCCCCGTCCGGCGGAGGGCGCGGCCGAGATTCGGGGGGCGCGCGCAGAGACGGGGGGTCTGGCGGCCGCAGACACTGCCCTATGGCGGGGCTCCGGCCCGGGAGCGGCGGGGACATGCGCCCGGAGCCGCAGGTGCGCTGGCCCGGGCGGGGGTGGGCTGCTCGGGGCGGCCGCTCCGCAGATCGGGTGCGATTGCCACTCGCGGCGCAGGGTCGCCCGTGGCCACGGCAGGTGCCTGCGCGGGCGGCGGCCGGGCTCGGGGCGCGGCGCTTGGCCCCGGGCACTTTCGCGGCCGCTTTCAGGGCGCGGATTGGACCCGGGAGACCGAAACCGCGCGCGGGGCAACAATGGTCCGGGGCTCTGAGCGCCACAGGTCCGTGACTCAGGCCCTACAGAAACCCAAAGTGCTGAGCCAGGGGCTTTTCCGACGTGTGTTTCTGTTCGTTTCTGTTTCAGTGTGTTGGGCCGTTGCTGGACTATGTTTACGCTTCTGATCCTACTGAGCCAGCTGCCCGTGGCTGCCATCGCGATTCCTCTTTGCACCAGAGGTCCAGAGGAGCCTGGGCACGCGGGGGAGGAAGGTGAGCATGCCTCCGGTTCCCCAGAAAACCCTCTGGGAGCCCCAAGCCGCCTGTTGTAGATCGCAAAGTGGAAAGCGTAGTATTTGAAATGACATGCCCTCGTCGATCATTGGAGCGCTAAAATATTCTTTAGTTTAATTTGTGGTTTATTTGGTAATGTGGTGGTTTGTTAAGTGCAATGTATACAAACTGATTTTGAGTTACTTTTGATTATACACACACACACGCACACACACGCACATGCACACGCACATTTAAGAACTGGTTTGTAGTTAACCTGAATGGAGTACCTATTTCAACTTGTAAAATCAGTGCGTGCCGTTTTTCTTTTCTTTTCTTTTTATTGTGTGAGGCGATGTGGTAATTATAATGAGCATAATGAGGCATAATGAGTTGTTCTTCCTGGAAAGACAGAGAGTTCAAGAGCTGGTCTGGATTTGTTGAGACCAGAGGCAAGTAACTTGATGCCCTTTGGCTTGAATTTCTTCATCTGTAAAGTCATGGGGATGAGGAGTGAAATGATCTCTGAGATCCTTTCTGATTGTCAAATCTCTGGATATAATCGAATGGTTGTGAGATTAGGTTTGGGGTTTCCTAACCTATATTTTCACATCTTGTGGGTTCCTGGTCATAAATAGACTGGTTCCTGCCCATGTCTTAAGAGCCTAACATAGAAAAGCAAAAACAAAAACAGAAAAACAGAAAAGGGGAGGAATGCTTTGGCTCTCAGCATCCTTCTCCCTGCCTTGTCATTGTGCTTCCCTACCCAGCGCTAGTACTTTGGATCTGCTTGCCCATGCATTCCTGTCCCTTCTCCCTTCTCATCAGATCCTACTCTCAGCTCATTTTCATTTGGGAAGGATCTGTTACACTAATACTCCGGGATGACTTATTAATGATTAATACAGCTTAGTGTGTTAAACCGTCTGAGGGCGCGGGAGAGAGAGAACCCTGATGACAGAATTCTAGGCAATTGGATAGGCTAGCTCGCGGTAAAAAGACAGATTTTGGAAGGAGAACCTTCTTGGTATCTCCCAAGTTGTAGCATATGTGTACTGGCAAGTTCACTCATGTATGAGGTTGATGATCCCTTCTCAGTAGGACCAGAAGCTGATCCCCAGAAGCCTTGTGAACGTATTCATCTGTGCACACAATAACAGTCAAGAAGACACTCTCAAAAATATCACAAACTCTGGAAGGAATTTAGAGGTCATACTTGAATGCAAAAGGCTGGAGATATCTGTGGGAATCCTCTATGTTTAAAAAGCCAACTTGTTCAGTTATCAGCCACTCTGTTAACACATACTCTGTGCCAGGCCCTATGCTAGGCACTGGAGACGTAGAAATGAAAGACTGTCATCCTTGCCCTGGAGGGCCTCTTCATTGATCTGGGAGGCGGGGTGGAAACAGGAAGTCTCCATGAACTCAGAGGCAGTACCGAGACCACAGAGTAGAGGAAAGTGGGCAGCAGTTACTCTGTCTTAGGAGAGTTGTGTGGCACAGAAGCCAATGCTCTCTATAAGCAAATAAGATACATGAAAAGATACATAATAAATGGGAATATGAAAAGTAACTGGGAAAACCTACAGCTAACTTCTGATAAAGCCAGTGACCTAAAAGGAATTCACTTAGAAAACATGGGGAGACAGGAGAGAGGAAGAGATTGGTGCGTCTGAAATGGTGAAATGCACAGAGAGCCTCCTAGAATGACCGAAGGCAGAGAAATGGAGATGGATAGAGGGTCTGAGGAGGCAGATCCAAAGTGCAAAGGCCAGAGGGAAAACAGAATCTCTCGTGGAAGTTCAGGATGATCCAGAGCAAGGAAGTTTGCTTCTTTCAAGTGTAAGCATGTTCAGGGTTACTTGGAACCCAAACAATAAAAGGCAGGATTGCTCCTAAGACTGTAAGGGAGGCAGGGAAAAGCTCGATAAGGCACTGGCCGAATTGGAACTTTCACACTCAGGGAAATGGCAAACAGCCTCTGGGTGAGGATTTGTACTGGCATAAACATCACTTCAGGAACAATAAAACACGTTTATGCCTCTTTGTATTCCTTTCAAGTTGAGTGCTAAGTGCCATTCGGAAGGTAGGGATATTTTTATAACAGCCTATTCGAACACAAGACCAACAACGAGAAATTTGGCACCACTCTTTAGTCAGTAAAATGAGAAGATCTGGGCAAATCTGAGAAGTAGGAATACAGAAGCAGATTTCCGATTCTCCTTCCTGAAACTAGATTTCATATAGCTATAGCTAAGTTAGGCAGGCTTTGAGGTACTGCATTGCTGGTGTAGTATTTTAAACCCATGTCAAGCTGAGTAACACCAGACTATATCTATCAATTGCTTCAGCTGATAGAATTATTTTTACTGATATTTCCTTTTGGCAGCTTTGAAGACCACACAAGAAAGTTCGGTGTAATTTAGCTACATCGAGAACGATTCACTCTTTTCATCATTTAAATAGGAATTTTCTTTCTTATTGTTATCAGTATTTGAAATCTTTCTGTTTCTTTATTAGTATTTACATCCAAAGAAGAAGCCAGCTCTTTCATACACAGACACCTGCTCTATAACAGGTTTGATTTGGAGCTCTTCACGCCAGGTGACCTAGAAAGAGAGTGCGTCGAAGAACTCTGCAATTATGAAGAAGCCAGAGAGATTTTTGTGGATGAAGATAAAACGGTAATTCGGTTAATGATGTTCATTGTCTGGGAACTTATTAAATCGTACTTAAGAAAATGACCCTTGCAGTCATTAGAGATGTAATGCTTTAAATACAATTAGGATTCTGTCTCTGTTACCTCTTTTCGACTTTCTTAAAAAAGCGAGTTAGCTTTTGCTTCAGACTTGGCTTTATGCTTCATTAGCTGGGCTTAAAGTAATCAGCAAACGATCGATTCTGCTGTCTTTTTGTGTGTTGAATGTTTATTATCTTCAAAAACAATCATGAAGCAGAATGAATGAAGCGTCAGGATATAATTCCAGTGAGTTCTCTGGCACAGGCTTGAACCAAGGCTCTGAGCAGGGTTTCCTGACAGTGGCCTAACCTTTTGAATGACTGTATTTATACTTCAAGGATTGGCAACCTCCTGTGTGCCAAGTGCTCTGCTGGAGCCTGAAGGTACAAATATAGATAGTCCCACACCCAGGAGTTTGTTGTTTGGCATAACTGTAAATTTAAGGGCGAAACTTTTAGACGTTCTCCCTTAGAATATAACTAAGTCCCGTCTGTTCATCTCGTGAAGGCCCAAAACAGAGACAGCGCCGGCCTTGTTATAACCTGGCATATTCCTGAAGAATGTTAAATGACCCAAATTCTTTACTTTTGTAGATTAAATAACCCCAGCTCCTTTTTCCCTTCCTCAAAAGTTCCATTTTACTCTTTGGTCAATAAGAACCTCACTTGGTATCCTTCAAATGCAGGTTTTAATGGAATGTAGTTCTTTTCCCCCCAAAACTGTGCCCAGCCTCCAGGCTAATAATCTGCCGCCTGTATTAGAGCAGAAAACCGAGTCTACACCTTGTAAGGGTGCCTGGTGAGGTTTTATTCTGTCTTTCACAAGCCCATCTTGTAATTTTATCATGGTTCCTTAAAACCGCTCCCATTCTCTCAAGTGACACTGAACTTAAACAGCCTTGGGGATGTCTTTCTAAATCTTGAAATACCTTACAATAAAAAATCTAGCAAACTGAGGGCCTACTTAGCATCGAAAAATTCAGACTCCTTTTCAAAAATGAGTCTCCTGCCTCAGCTTCTACCTTTGGCACTTTCACTGACTCTGCAATGCAATAGTTCCTCTGATGCCTGAGTGGGCGCTCTGGGCAGATGAAGGGCGAATAGCAGGGAATAGATGGCGAGGTGTCACTGGCAATAATGCCCTGACCATTCCAGAGCTGGGAGAAATGGTAATGCGTGGTAGTGCTTTAATCAGAGTGAATCACACCCTCTAGCTTGAATGAACTGGTAGCCTACCTGTAGTACATGCCAAAAATTTACCACCCACAGTAGGTCATTGGGGACCGAACGAAATGACAATGAAATGAAACTGACATATGTGCACAGATGATAATTTAATAAAATAAAAAAAAAAGAAAGAAAGAAAAAGAAATAAATGAAATTGACTTGGAAAATGTATCTTTCTCTTAGCTGGCATTTTGGCAGGACTATTCCATTAAAGGACCAACCGCAAAATCAGGTAAGACAAGAATTGATTAAATAATGTTTTTCCCACACCCTTCCTTCTATAATACATTTAGTTTCATTATTTGAGTTTGGTTGTTGCTCAACATACTTACCTTGTAAATTCAAGGGAAATTTCTCAATTATACACTGGGCTATCTAAGATAGAAAGGCCCCATTCATCTAGTTATACAATGAAAATCAAGTTTGGTGAGATACTCGGGAAATGAGATAATAGGCTTAAAGGTGCTTTAAACAGCTCAGCTAAGTCAAGACTTGCAGAGAGTAAAAGTTGTACTCCATTGCTTTCAAGTAGTTAAACTGTTTTAATTGTTTTGTCTTTTTATTTTTACCATTCAAGTGAATGGAAGTCATATGTTGCTAGGTAAGTTAAGTTGGTTAGGTAAAATGAAGTAATTTCTAGAGAGGGACGATCCTGTCTTTTACCTACTAGTATATTGGTCATCTCTAGTTGGCTTTTAGTCAGGTAGGTTTTTTGTCAGCTAGTCTTTCATTCCTCTTGCGTAGGGCCCAAGCTTATAGGGAGACTATATTACACAGCTAACTAGAGTTGCTCAATACATTTATCTTATAGTTAATATCAAAGTGAGCCTAGTGGAACAAAGTTTATGTTTATCCCGCTTAGTCTTGAATATTATACATGTAATATGACCTATTTAAAATAAACAAAGCCAGCTGAAACCGGTTTGGCTTAGTGGATAGAGCGTAGGTCTGTGGACTGAAAGGTCCCAGGTTCAATTCCGGTCAAGGGCATGTACCTTGGTTGCGGGCATATCCCCGGTGGGGGGTGTGCAGGAGGCAACTGGTCAATGTATCTCTCTTATCGATGTTCCTAGCTCTCTATCCCTCTCCTTTCCTCTCTGTGAAAAATCAATAAAACATATTTAAAATAAATAAATAAATAAATAATAAATAAATAAACAAAACCATAACTAGGACTTTCAGGAAGTGTTGTTTAAAATTCTTTAGATCATATGTATAGCACAAAGAATTCTTTTTTAAATTAATTATTTGATGCTTAATACTGTGCTTAAACTGAGGGTTAAATTTATTGAAATCACAAATAGGGCTTTTCAGGTGTTACATTTATGTTATTTTAATGATTTTTCTTAAGGTGGTAACAGAGAGAAAATAGATGTTTTGGGCCTTCTGACTGGACTAATTGCTGCTGGAGTATTTTTGGTTATTTTTGGATTACTTGGTTACTATCTTTGTATCACTAAGTGTAACCAGCAAGGACATCCAGGGTAAGTACCAAGTGAAAGTATTTAATTCACTGTTACACATTCTGTACTATTATTTTTAAGTATAGATTTAAAATGGCTGCCTGTTTTTTAAATAAACTTTTTATTTTGGAATAATTTTAGTTATACAGGAGAGTGACAAAGGTAGTTCAGAGAAGTACCATATATCTTTCACCCAGTTTCCCTCATAGTTAACAGCTTATGTTATCATAGTATATTTATAAAACTAATAAAACAACATTGGGCCCTGGCCGGATTGGGTCAGTGGATAGAGCATCGGCCTGCAGACCAAAGGGTCCCTGGTTTGATTCTGGTCAAGGGCATGTACTTCGGATGCAGAATGCAAGTTCCTTCTGGGCCTGGGCCCAGGTTGGGGGCACATGAAGGAGGGAACTAATTTATGTTTTCTCTGTTTTTCCTTTTCTAAAAGATCAATGGAAAAATATTGTTGGGTGAGCACTAACAAAATATAAATAAATAAAAGTTTAAAAAAACAACATTGGTACATTAATATTAACTAAATTCTAGACCTTATTTAGATTTCACCAAATTTCCATTATTGTCCTCTTTTTGCTCTAGGAGCCAATCAAGATAGTACATTGCATTTAGTTGTCATGTGTCCTCAGTTTCCTCTAGTACACATGTGTCAAACACAAGGCCCGCGGGCCAAATCTGTCCCGCCAGGTCTTGCAATGTGGCCTGCACCACGCTGTCATCACTGCACTTTGCTGCGTTTCCATCACAATGACAGTTTATGACTGTTCAGTAAACCATTCGACCCGCGATTTAGGCTGGATTTTAGATTTTGGCCCCTTCTCTGATTGAGTTCGACACCCCTACGTCTAGTATATGATTGTTTGGTTGCCTAATTTAACACAAATAAAAAACTTTAAAATGCTGTGTCTAAGGTCCTTCAAAAGAATACAAAGATTCACAAATGTCAGCTTAAAGTTTCAATGTTTCCTTTGTAAAAAAAAAAAAAAAAAATGTTTACTTGATTTTAGAGAGGAAGACAGGGATAGAAACATCAATGATAGAGAGAATTATCCCTGTAGGGGGTGTGCAAGAGGCAGCTGATCTATGTTTCTCTCTCATTGATGTTTCTAGTTCTCTCTATCTCTCTCTCCTTCCTCTCTGTAAAAAATCAATAAAAAAAAAAATTTTTTTTTAAAGAGAGAGAGAATTATTGATCGATTGCCTCCTGCATGCCCCACACTGGGGATCGAGCCCGCAACTTGGGCCTGTGCCCTGACCGGGAATCAAACCCTGACCTCCATAGGTCGGTGTTCAAACACTGAACCACGCTGCATGCTGGGCAGGGTTTCCTTCCTGAGCAGGAGGCAGATACCAGTGTCTCCACATTCTTTCTGGAGGCAAGAAGCCCCATAGTTTACTATGAGTCACAGTGATGTGTGCTACCCAAGTAGAAAAAGAATAACTAGGTTTTAAATTCAATTATTTTCACTGATACTTTAAATCAAATACAAATTAATAAAATAAAATGGTTACCACGTGAAGATAATAAAGTTTCATGAATATTCATAAAAGCAGTACTAAACAAGTACTGCTTTTTACATAATAGAACCTCAACGTACTTATAGGAATAAAAAGTTATTAGCGTCTATATTATCTTCTCAGTAAATATAGATGAGTAAGCATAGAATGTTAATTTAAAAAGCACCAGATACTAAACAAACTATTCAAAATTGGTGCTTATATATCCCTATTTACACTTTCAAATGAAGTGAACAAACACATGATGTTGACCAGGTGATGAAAAGGTTATGGATATTAGATAATAGTGATGATTACAGAACATTGTGAATATAATTAATACTGCTGAATTGTATACATAAAAATGGCTAATATAGCAAATTTTAAGTTATATGTATTTTATCACAATAAAATTTTTTCCATTATTGTTAAAGTCAGAGTTTAGGACAACAGAAGCAGAATTAGGATTCATCTGTTGGAAGATAAAAGCTGAAGCCATGAGAATAGGCTATTTCTGAGTGAGATGAAAGAACAGAAGGCAAAGGACTGGGCCTGTAAGGATGCCCACAGAAAGGGTGCAGACAGGAAACATGCCAGCAAAGAGGGCAGAGAACAGGGGCGACATAAATTGTAATGCTGCCGAAACCGGTTTGACTCAGTGGATAGAGCATAGGTCTGTGGACTGAAAGGTCCCAGGTTCGATTCTGGTCAAGGGCATGTACCTTGGTTGCAGGCATATCCCCAGTAGGGGATATGCAAGAGGCAGCTGGTGGATGACTCTCTCTCATCGATGTTTCTAATTCTCTATCTCTCTCCCTTCCTCTCTGTAAAAAATCAATAAAATATATTTTAAAATAATAATAATAAAAATAAAAATAAATAAATTGTAATGCTGTCCCCAAACTGGACTCCCCAAAAAGCTCCCTGGGCATTTATGTGACCTGTGGGCATGAACTAAGGAGTGTGTCAGACAGACTTCTGTAAATCCTGCAAATGTCTGAGCAGTGAGAGAATGTAAGGAGAATTGGTTTAATTTTTCTTTTCTTTTTAAAATATATTTTATTGATTTTTTTATAGAGGAAGGGAGAGAGATAGAGAGCTAGAAACATCGATGAGAGAGAATCATCGATCAGCTGCCTCTTGTACACCCCCTACTGGGGATGTGCCCGCAACCAAGGTACATGCCCTTGACTGGAATCAAACCTGGGAACTTTCAGTCTGCAGGCGACGCTCTATCCACTGAGCCAAACCGGTTTCGGCTGGTTTAATTTTTCTTAAGTCACCATCTTTTATGCTGTATGACACCTATTAATTTTCCTTATTTAACAAAGTATTTCCAAGTATTAAAATTAAAAATTAAAAACCCTGGTCCTTCAAAAGAATACAAGGCTCATAAATGTCAGCTTTAAAAAAAAAAAATGGTTACACTTTATGTTAGTTCGGTATAGTGCTGTACAGTTCACAGATCACTTTTACATCTGTTGTCTCACTTTAACCCTCACAGTGACCCTCTGCATTTTAGGGGACTAAATTTTAGGTTTACAAAGTATTCTCCTTTGTTGGGATTAACTTTCAGACACTTACTAAAGTACATTTCATCTGTTGTCCCAAGAAATTCTTCCAGCAGAGTTATTTGTTTTCTTTCTATATTTTGCAAGTCTGAAATGGGGGAAGGGTGAGGAAATATTTGAAAAGAGAAAGGAGTGAAAAATAAGATCCTTGTCAGAAACGTTTGTCTCATTCCTCTGTAAAAACATGCCAAGAAATTGGAAACAAGATCTTTTTATTTCTTAGTTTCTTATTTTATGGAGTAAAATAAGTGTAATATGATGTCCATTTATTTGAGATGTTATTGGTGCATACTTTCTGATTTCACTCATCTAAGATGTATGTAAGAAATAGCTATATAGATATTTAGTGGCTTTGATGCAGTTACTATATAGTTTCTATATCTCAAGTTCTGAAAGTTGACGTGGAAAAATTTATTTGTTCAAATAAAACATCTGTTCCCTCTAAGCAAACAGATAGGAGTTTTTGTTACAAGCTAGCGAATGTGGCAAGTGACTAGCCTACCGTGAAAAAATTCCAGATTTCTGACAGAGGAGGAATTGTGTCTAGCCTTCTAAGTCAACGTGTAATGATCTCAGTCACCTCTCAATTATTGATTATCCAGTTCCTAGATTTACACAGATCTTTTTCTTCTCTCCTTCCCTCCAATTTCAGATCTAATTCTTAGCTCGGAAGGAAAGGGTGTTTTAAGGTGCAAATTGACTTACTTGGTTTGGAAAAGTTTACAGTTTTGAGTCTGCTAAACTGCCTCGTTGGGAAGGATACTGTAAAGATTGACTAGAGGTTGTGCATTACGTATGAATTTTAATCATCTTGTTAGCCATAACTGTAGGAGGTTAATTTATGCATAGATTAGCCAGCTTCACAGCCTAAACAGATCCATTTACTAATGTTTAAATTACCATTTTGTAATTTACAAGTGAGGAGGGAAAAGGTAGGTTCAAAACATCAGACCCATATTGCATTTCAGTTTTCATTGGCTGGTGTAGCTGACAAAGTTTTGTGAAAATGGTAGGACTAGAACTAGGCCATATATATATATATATATATATATATATATATATATATATATTTTTTTTTTTTTTTTTTTTTAATTGTTGAGCTTAGAACAGTGGAGTGGGAAAAAGACATAATCTGAGGAAGGAAACCATACCAGTGAAAGCACAGAGATGGGACAGAATTCATTGCACATTCTGAGGAGTGTTAAAGAGGCTACCTTGGCAAGAGCAGAGAACTATAAAAAACAGAGCGAGGCCAGAATAGGGAGGCTTTGAAAAGGAGGCACTTACGTTAGAACTCCATTCAATGGAAAGCATGCTACAGGCTGAAGCCGGTTTGGCTCAGTGGATGGAGCATGGGCCTGCCGGCTGAGGGATCCCAGGATTGATTCCGATCAAGGGCATATGCCTTGGTTGCGGCCACATCCCCAGTGGGGGTGTGCAGGAGGCAGCTGATCGATGTTTCTATCTCATTGATTTTTCTAACTCTCTATCTCTCTCCCTTCCTCTCTGTAAAAAATCAATAAAAACATATTAAAGCCGAAACCTATTTGGCTCAGTGGATAGAGCGTCAGCCTGTAGACTGAAAGATCCCAGGTTCGATTCCGGTCAAGGGCATGTACCTTGGTTGCAGGCACATCCCCAGTAGTGGGTGTGCAAGAGGCAGTTGATCCATGTCTCTCTCTCATATCGATAGATGTTTCTACAATAACTCTCTATCCCTCTCTCCTTCCTCTCTGTAAAAAATCAATAAAATATATATTTAAAAAAACATATTAAAAAAGAAAAAAAGAAAGAAAGAACGCTGAGGTTAGACATTTTACAGAGAAGAGTGATGTGATAAAAGAAGTGCTTAGAAGGGATCTTACCCATCAGGCAGCAGGACTGAGGGAGGGGACAAAGGAAACAGACAGACATCAGCTGTTGTGATTATCGGTGGCATTGGATTCCTTGACTTGGTGTTGAGCTGCCTTTCAAAACCTGGGTTTGGTTTCACACCATACTGAGAAAGTTTCCATCCAGGGAAATTAGCACATTTTCAGTCCTTATGTAGAGGTAGCTTTTATTATTCCCCCTTTACAGAGGAGGAGACTGAGTTAGGTTAACTTGCCTTTGGTCACATGACTAGGAAATGACAGGGTCCAGCTTCATCCCCCTGTCTGACTTTAAAGCTTTTGATCTTTCCATTAGACCAAGAAAGACTCTTTCTATTGTTAGAAACCTGTTGTTATATTAATAAAGTAGAGGCCCGGTACACAAAATTCATGCACTCAGGATTGGGGGGGGGTCCTTCAGTCTGGTCTGCGCCCTCTCGCAGTCGGGGAGCCCTGTGATTGATCGCCCCACAGAGGGAGGCCCCACCCACCACCGCTGGCTGAGTCGTGTGGGCCTCCCTCTTTAGGGCAATCATGGAGCCCCCAGCCGGTGGCCTGGGCCTCCATCTGCAGGGTAATCATGGGGCAATGACAGGCCCCCCCTTCCCTGACCAATTGCACTGCACCCGCCTTGGCGGTGGCAATCAGTGCTAGGTTGCCACAATGCCCACCGCAGCAGCAGTCAGTGCTAGGTCATTGTGGCACCAGCAACCCAGGAGGGACGGAGAGGTCAGCAGTTCAGCCTGCTCACCAGTCCCCACCCTCTGGAGCCTGCTGCATGCTCAGCCTGGTGTTGGGCCGTCCGTTCGGTCATTTTGGATGTTACGGACGCTGGCTCTTTATATATTAGAATTAGGTTCAATTTTTATAAAATTAATCAGTTGGATTTTCAAATGTTGCCATCTTAAACTAAAACTGCTGCCTTTTCTAGACATAAATGCTGTGTCTCTGTTTAGTTCTTCAGCCACCTACGTAAGAAGAGGAAGGCACACTCCCTCCATCATTTTCAGAAGACCTGAGGAGGCTGTCTTGTCTCCATCACCACCCGCAGTGGAGGACACAGGGTTACCTTCTTATGAACAGGCCGTGGCACTGACCGGAAAACACAGCATTTCGCCACCACCGCCATATCCTGGGCCAGCAAAAGGGTTTAGGGTGTTTAAAAAGTCTCTGTCACTCCCATCTCACTAAGCTCACTTTGCCATCTTGGTGGTATAGGAGATTCATGTTACTTAAATGGTTCATTTTTCCTGAACCATAAAGACACGTCAGTTCAGCCCTTTATGACAAACTGCAAGAAGAAAAGGAGGAATAAGCATGAGTACTATACCACAGAAGTTCTGTTGGCATCTTGAACCTGAACCTGATCATTATCAACCTGATAAGAAGCTTGGACTCCATATCTTTGCAGTTAAGAAGAGAGCACTTTTTTCTTATTTATTTTAATGGTTCCAAAAAAAAATTTGTAGTATGGATATCATAAGTAGAACTGATGAAATATCTGTATCCTTTGTGTAGATAAAGGTTGCAGATTTTTTGTGTTGAATATTTTTAAAGAATTCATTATCATTAGATTATCTTGTCATAATATTGGGCTTTCTTATTGATTGTAAAACTTCAAAGAATTTGATATTTCATTATAAATTGATGGCCTTAGCATAATCACTTGATTTTACATTTTAAATTATAAAATGGCATTCACTATATTTTGCCGGTTTTAGTTGTTAATTCTTGCTATCAGTCATGTTTCATTATGAGTGGGATCAGTAATTTTCTCTAAATACAAAACAGAAAAACACTTACTAGGGAGTTAGATCTTTAGAGGATTGTAATATCAAGGATTTGCAAGAGTTGTTATACTAACAAATAAATAAACGGGCCTCAAATCTAGGAGTGGCTAGAATTTGATAAAGTCACCCATATTACTATGTAGATTACTAACCTATTTTATTGATAACTAGAGGCCCAGTGCACAAAATTCACACACTGGTAGGGTCCCTAGTGGCTGCCGGCTGCCAGCTCGGGCCTCCCTCCCTTCCACCGGCCAGTCCTCCCCCAGTCAAACTCCCAGAAGAACTCCAGTTGAGGGGACAATTTAAATACTACACTTTTATTATATAGAATTATCTATATATAACTATATGTAATTATTTATTTGAAAATGTGTTGATTTTTCCTAAATAATAGCTTGAAAATGTAGAAAAAGTACTTTACTTTTCTGCTACTAAAATATAATATTGGTTAAAGTTACCTTGTATCTCTTAATGTCTGGACACAAAACACCATCAGTAACCATTTTAACTTATACTTTTTCTCTCCTTCTAATCCTATTTGTGACCAGTCCTCCTGAAGAATGTGGTAGAGTTGCCCCGGCTGGTTTGTTCAGTGGTTAGAGTGTTGGCCTGAAAACTGAAAGGTCCCAAGTTTGATTCCAGTCAATGCCATGTACTTTGGTTGCAGGCTCAATCCCCAGCCCATGCAGAGGGCAACCAATTGATGTGCCTTCAATCAATGTTTCTGTCTTTCCTCCTTCCACTCTCTAAAAATCAATAGAAGAAAATCTTTGGGTGAGGATTAACAAACAAGCAAAAAAAGAACGCAGTAGAGTATAAGCTATAAATGTCTGGAGTAAATCCGTGTGCACAAATGCATGCAGGTGGGTGTGTATGTATGTGTAATTTGTTTCCTCCTTGCAGGAGCTCAAGAAATACAACTCCTACATGTAATAAAGAGGTCCAGAATCACGCACACAAAAAATAAAGACAAATATAACATCCTGAGAAATAGAAAATTCTGTTCTTTATGCTTTTACCAGGCATTGCGTTTTTCTATTAAAGATCATTTGTAAAATTGTATTGTGTTTTACAATTTTTACAGAGGTGAGACTAAAACTCACATGACTTGGATAATTCCTTCCAAATTGAATGTTTAGAAAGTATAAGTCACGTTACCATATGTGTATGTGTCTCTCCTTTAAGTCAGCACGATCTTAAGGCACATAAAAGCAATACCTTCACCATTACAGACTACCAAAGGCATTATTCTTTTTAGATTCTTGTGACTCTTGGTTTGCTTGTCTGTCACAAAGAAATAATCTAGTAACATTTACATACAATTAGGAAAAGTGGTCCTTATAGAGCTTTCTGTATTACCTATAAAAATTTCACTGTTAGTCATAACTTGGCTTTTACAAATAAGCACTTTTTCTCATGTAACTTTGCACCTTGCACTTTGCACTTACTTTAACAGGTCAGAGGCAAACTCTACTTTTTGTTCACTTTGTAACAGATTAAGGCATAGGCTAACTTGCCCAAAATCTAACATATTGGTGAGAGCTAGGTTTAGAATGAGCAAGCACACTTTTCTAGGCCCACTGTGAAACTATAGAATTATACTGTCTCAAATAATGAAATCCAGGGGTCTTGTTGCTTAATTCTAAATCTATGTGAGGAATTTATAAGCATTTGTCATATGCAATATATGTACCTGTATATAAAAGCATATACTAGTATATGAGCCCTAGGTGGTTTGGCTCAGTGGATAGAGCATCGGCCATAATTCACAAATGCTTATAATGTTTGAAAGGAAAATATCTCAATGTAAAATTATTGACAAATATTTCTGACATATATCCACTCTTTCCTATTCCTGTTGTATTTTTGGTGGATATTTTTGTTTGTTTGATTAATTTGTTTTGTTTGTGGTTTTTCCCTAGGTAACTGATTAGTGTTAACAATTAAATCTACTTTGACACAAAGTTTTCTGTTTAAATAGGTGTTTCCCCTTCTATTCCAATCAGGAAATGAATGTAATATGGGTATAAAAAAGGAAAGTGGACTAGAAAAAGAGAAATAGATAGATAATTCTACATGGAATATTCCCTTTTCAAAATGAAAAAAATTAAAGAGAGCACAAATCCTGACTGTGAAAGTTTTACATCTGTTAATAATATTCCCTCTGTGTAAAAACAGGGTGGGTGAAAATGTCAGAACAATAAGAAGTAGAACAAAAGTGTCCTCTGTGTCTTTGGTTTCCCCTTGGCCTGTAAAATTCTAATCATTTTTTTCTTTTTATCAGATACTTTTTGTGTGTGTACACTTTTCCAGTATGTACAAGAGAATCTTTAACCAGAAAAGGTTTATTAGTGCTATTCAAAAGCTCAATTTCATATCATTCATATTGTTTTTGATCTAATGGAATGTGTGTTAATTGTTATTAGCTTGATTTGAAATGTTGCATACAATGCTTACACTATTAAAAGAGTGTCTAGAATTTCTGTATTTTTAAAACTAGATTCTTTTGTAGATTGCCAGTATGACATTTTGGAACATGTATGACAGATTGATGCCTTCAATCTTCTGAATTGTGTGATTTCTCCACCATTTTTTGTTGTTTAAAAATGTTTTCCCTATAGGTTAAGAACTTAAGGCAACCCAGAACAAATGTATCAGTATTTTTTTTTAATGAACATTTTCCCCACAGCCTAGATTATGTTTTGGTTTTAATGGATTTCCTATTACAAACACTTTTCAAACATGTGAATGAACTTTATTCTAAGTAAATATTTATTGTTTGTTTCAATTAAATATACTTTTTCCTCACTCAGTGGCATATAACGATATAAATTAAATGTGAACAACACAATACATGTTTTCAAAACAGCCCTGACTGGTTTGGCTCAATGGATAGAGCATTGGCCTGCAGACTCAAGGGTCCCAGGTTCAATTCCGGTCGAGGGCATGTGCCTTGGTTGCGGGCACATAGCCAGTAGGAAGTGTGCAGGAGGCAGCTGATCAATGTTTCTCTCTCATTGATGTTTCTAACTCTCTATCTCGCTCCCTTCTTCTCTTAAAAAAAAAAATCAATAAAATATATTTAAAAAACAAAACAAAACACTGTTTACAGATGGTGTTGCTGTATATATTTTTTGCCCAGGGTGGCCAGCATTCTGTTAGACAATTTAGTTGCATTTGTGAAAGTGCTATTCTCTTTAACATGGTTTTAATATTTAATTTATTGTTTGAGGCAATTTTATTATATATTACTCTTTAAAACTGAATTTATTTCTGTGACCTATATTTATACATAATTTAAAAATCAAAAGAGGCTATAGTAATGTTACACTAAATTATAGTGTAGCAAAAAATAAAAGATAAATTATAGCATAGAAGTACTTCTAGCTTAAGAGAAATACATTAAGTAATATTAAGAGCCAATCACATAGAATAAACCCTGATTATTATTAAATATTACTTCATGTTATACATTTAAATTACCTTAAGTTTTTTTGGATCCAATACAGTTATACATATAAAATTACTTTAATCAAGGGAATGAGAAAACAAGCTAGTGACTAAGAGGAAATATTTGCAAAAGATATCTGATAAAGAAGGCCTGTTACCCAAAATACACAAGGAACTCTTAAAACTCAGCAATAAGAAAACAACCCCATTTTTAAAATGGGCAAAAGATCTGAACAGACACCTCCCCAAAGACAGGGCAGGAGGACAAGGCAAAAGGTATTTTATCATCAACGTTGTTGGCAACAAGGGCTCCCTCCCGGGAGGACCACTGAGAGAGGTGCTAAATGCCCTCCATAGCAACCCAGCTGGGAGCTAGGAGGCGGGCGTGTTTACCCTCTGACTTCCCTCTGTGGGAGGAGGGTTTCTCCTGATGGGAAGATGCAAACTCCCTTGAGTTTCCGGGAGCTTCAGGGGGAGTCACGAAGTAAGTCAGAACTGCCTTGCAGGTGAGCCAGGGGGTGGGATGTGGGCACCAGAGGGGTGTGTTACCACCTGATACAAGCAATGTTTCCTCTGAGTTCCTAAAGTTCTGAGTGAGCAGCCATATTCCATGGGCAGCAGAAAAAATGAAGATATGTAAATACAATAAAGCTGGCATAAGGAGTAGTCCAGTGCTTACGTTGTTACTTTCATAAATGTTCCATGTGAGTGGGTTTTGTGTGTGGAATTCTATGAAGAGACTGAATTTCAGCTTCTCTCCTGAAAAGAGAAAGCACTCCTGGAAGAAACTTGGGAGATTGTAAATTTCTCCAGAGTTTGCAGAAATTTGGGAAAGGTTTTTTTTTTTGTGTGTGTGTGTGTGTGTGTGTTTTAACTTTCACAAGATGTTTGAGACTACCTTATCCTGAATTTAAGAAACTAAGAAGTCCCATATGACAAAACTGAATCTAATACTAATTCATGACATGCTTAGTACTTGGTATATAATATTTATAACATTAACATGGACACTAATTAGGGGAAGCCTAAATCTTTTCCAACAAGCTTCCTTTACCGAGGCCATATCTGGGCTTTGGGATAAAAGGGTAGAGAAATAAGAGAAAGGATAGTATAAAAACTAGCAGAGTGTGCCTTACACTTAGGCCGTAGCTGGGAGAAGCTAGAGCTCAGAACACATGCTCTGTCACCCCCGGTTTGAAGTTCAGTCCTCCAGCAGCAAAACCAATGCGAAATATTTGCTTCAGGTGTTTGCAGGCAACCAGGACTAATGTGATTTTCCTCAACAATGAAATGTTTGTGTGTTTTTTTGGGGGTGTTTTTCCCTCCAAAGTTTAACGAAGTGTTTAGACAGTATTTGTTTATTTATCTATTTATTTATTATTAGTGTCCCAATGCACGGATTCATGCACATTGAAAGAAAATTAATTAGAAAAAATATTTTAATATCGCCTTTTCTCTATAATATAAGTGTCAACCTAATTCATGATCAACAATGACAGATTGAAACACATGCATGTGATTGGCACCAGTGAGAGCTT